CCCATTTAAATAGTGATTAATTAATTTAATAATACTTAGTAATTATTATTCTTCTGATAATTAAAAATATTTTTTATCCAATAAATTAATTAATATACTTTTTATTTATTAATATAATTTTTTTTAAATTATATTATTTTTTTTCAAATAAATTAATTAATATAAATTTTTTTATTAATATATTATTTTTTCGTTTTAAATTAAAATAATTATAATTTTAAATTATAATTTATAATTTTTCATTATAATTAAATTATAAGTATTATTATAATTTATAAAAAAAAAATGACTGGACGAACTTTCTGAACGGTTTTTATGCCGTCCGAACCGGCCGGCCGGACGGGCTAAAAGCCGTCCGGTTCCGGCGGCTAGACGGGCTAAAAGCCGTCCGGTTTCGCCGGCTGGACGATTTTTTTTTTTTTACTTTTTGGAAAAAAATGCCAGGAGCAAAATTGTCCAAGGAAGGGCGGTAAGTAGTAATAGGGGGGGCGGTGAATAGCAATTGAGAAGTATAATCTAAGACCTCGCACCCTTGAAATTCTACAACAAAAAAATGAAAAATATTCGTGTAAGAAAAAACGCATGAAAGAAAAAAAAAAAAGAAAAAAAAGTTGTGAGGATTGGAAATTATGCCCTTAAAACTTAAAAGTCCTACAAATTGAAATTACAATTCGCCTTTTGTTAATGACTGATAAAATATTTTGATTTTGTTTGGATTTTTTAGTTTGGTATGGTAAAATAATATTAAAGAATTTTGTATTGGTCAAAAGGTAGTTTGACTATGTTACACTTAAGGAAATTTACGAAGAAAAAAAAATACTTCCGAAACATCTAATATTCTATTCCGAACCAAATTTGGAAATAAAATAAATCATAAAGCAATTTGTGGGACAAAAATATTTGCTTTAGCTAGATTAGCGGATCGTAATAATTTATCATTTCACAAGCGGATTTAATAATTAACACATAACGGACTCATGTGTTAGCTTGCATTGTATTTCATTATTTTAATAATCCCTTCTTCCTTAACTTTGCTCTTTTGAATTTTCATAATTAGCAGTATCGATCCAACAAACTGAAACTAATCATAAGTTTGTTCCAAACAAGTTAATTATCGAATATGATTGATTAATTCTCAAGATGAAATTCAAAGATTTGATACCCAACTATACAAAACAATAAGTCCAAATTCTCAATTTGCACATATATAAGTTATCATCCTCTCTAATTTAATTGATACTTTATTCAGCTTATTTTGATTATCCAAATTAGTACAGAGCCCGTGCGATGCACGAGGTGCACAATTTTAAGGCTATTTATTTAAGCTTATAATTATACACATGAATAAAGAAAAATATACGGGATATATATAGTACGTGACCCGTGCGAAGCACGGGATATATTTATTTGGAGAATATTATATTATAAGATGAAATATTCAATAAAAGTTTATAATACGTGAGAAAATTGTACAATGTTCAATAAAAGTTTTATAATATTTAAGTGGAGTCTTAAAGTCTCTTGTACATTAAGACTACTGACAAAATAATATTTTAATCAATGAGTTTCCTTTCCTTGTAGCCAAATTGTGAATGTGATTTGGGGAGTACAACAAATCGATATATAGCTGACTTGCTTTTTTCATTGTAGTTTTTTTTTCTTTTTTTTTTATAATGAATTTCAAGATATTCTAAAATATAGCAAAAATTAATTTTTTTTATTACAATTAGGAATTTTACTAAATATAGACTCCCAATCTATGGTGTTAATCAAAGTTTAAGCCAAAAAAATTAGGAATTTTTACCTCTTTTAATCAACGTTTAAGTCTAAAAAACAATAGAGTTATTATAAGTTTTTTTTCTACATCTTTTAAAACAATAAATATGAGCATGTTAGGGCTAGCTTGTAAAATAATTAATATATTATCTCACTAAAACATTTATACTAATAAAAAATTAATTTTAGCATATAAATTTATCTCTTGATATAAGAGAAAATAACAGTTTTACTTATTGTTGTTCACCATATAATTTTTAATTATTATTTTTTTATATAATAAAAAAGGAATATTGTAAAATAGTGTAGTAGAATTGTTATAAAATTATATAATTTTTTTTTACAATATGGATTTAATATTTTTTATGATTTGATAATATAAACAAATCTATACTTAACTTTGACAAATAAAACAAATAAATACTTTAGTAAGTATTTAATGTATATACTAAATAAGAATATATTTGGTATAATCAAATACCAAATAAAATCAAATAAGTCAAAGTGTACATTTTTATTTGGTATTTGATTTCTTTATTATTAAAATATTTTTAATATACTTACCTTTTTAAAATAAAACAAATAAATAAATCAATTAAATAAATAAAATATTATAATACCAAAATAGTAATGACATTTAATACAATTGACTTTTCTGGATAGTAAATGTAGTAAATAGAATCTCCTTTTATATAAGTATAGATGTTGTCGTAAACATCTAAATAGCACAAAAATGAAATCAAATATCTAACCATAAAATATAATAACATCACTCACAATAAAATATAACATAAACTTTATTTATATATAGTAAAGAAAGCCGAGAGACGTGACCATTATTAAAGAGGTCTCGTCAAGGTACATTCTATATAGTTTGATCATATCATTTTTTTTTTTCTAAAGGCACTCATCGGTACTTTATATTCGGGATACAATAATGTGTCTCAAATAATAAAGTACCTCTAGGATTATTAAAAACAAAAGGGAACAAGAAATAGCAAATTCATACTAAACGTGCAATAATAATCGAAACCATCTTAAATTGACGTTGGATGTGTAGGTTGTGATCTTATAACCGGCCGGAATCACATCTTCGGCCACCGCAGTTTTCGAGGATTAGTTAGAGTTTGAGCTCACGTCGACTCCAGATGCCACATTTTCCCCCGAATTATAATTGCACTCCACCCTAGCCAATTATCAAAATTAATAATGATCATGATCATGATAAAATGTATTATATCAGTTGTAAACGAGCCGGGCTCTAGTATGTTTAGTGAGCTTTAATGGACTCGAAAAGATGATTTTTATATAATTTTTAAAATTTGACTTGATTATAATATTGATTTGAAAAAAGTCGAGGTGGATCTCGATTGTTGGCTCGTTCAGGGCTTGAAATTTGGCTCAGCTCGATTACACCTTAATATTGATAAAAATAGTTTATGAATTTACTGCTTATATTGAACATCCACGATTCCCTTGCTCCGAAGTTGGTCTTCTTGTCCAGCGATGGCCATTTTTCCAAAGGCAAAGCCACTTAAATCAAAGAAGTGATCATGAACATCCAAGCTCGAATCGGTTATTGTCACCGTCACAGGTTCGGTCGAGCAGAGATTCTCAATAGTACATTT